TGGCAACTTCAAAAACGCACAAACCCTGTTAACTGCCATCATTTCTAGTCCCTAAGGTGGATCAGCAGTGTTTTAAATACTGCAGAACAGAGAGGCTATATCACAAATTAATCTGCTACAAATTTGTACTACAAATTGCCAGGAAAAGTAGAAGATTGGTCTCTTGGAAGTACTGTACAGATTTGCGTTAGAGCCAAATTCAACATGACTGGAGACACGCACAAAAGCCCTTTGTTGTTGTTGTTCCTAAAAGCAGCTGCAGGGAGAGATGAAATCTGTAGTTTGGATTAGGGCCTCAGCATGGAAAATAGGGTTTAACCCTACTCCTCCCTGTGATGGACCTAATCTACTCCCTGCCCAGCTGTTAGCAGCTGCAGAAGGGAAAATATACAGGCACAAAATGACTGCCTATATACTTTATCCCATACAGTGGTGGTTCCTAAACATTTAGGCAGAAGTCCCCCTTCTGGTTTTTTAAAAACTCTCATACACTCCCCTCTCCTTTACAATCAAACAACTCCCTTTTTACAAAAAAAAATCCATTTGTAATTTAAAAATAAAAATAAACAGAAACACTGATAAAATATTGTATTAAATTAATTATATGATATGAATTTGAAAATGAGCAACGTTTAGGCTGACAAAAATATTATTTCGGTCTGAAAATCTCACCATCTCATATTGCTTTTGGAAATTTATCATGCTCTCCATAAGGAACATTCAGACTACAGTAGTTGGAAACTCTTGCTATATATCTAATAGTGGCTCTGCGGGCCAAGCTGATGTAACTGTGACCTGCAGTGGGGAATCTGTAGTACTGCAGAAAAAAGGTTGAACCACTCTTCCCACACACTGCAGAGAGACCCTAAAAATAAACCCTGTTGCTGCTTCAAACAAGAAAGCGTATCAGGCCAAAAGCAAAAGGAAAATTAAAAAAACAAAGGAAACCAAAACTTTGTGGCACCTTAAAGACTAACTGCTATATTTTTATGTGAGCTTTTGTAGACAAGTCCACTTCCTCAGATGTAAGAGTGGGATGACATGGCAAAGAACTACACAACTTTAATGTTGACAACAGAGAAACTGAAATAGAGCTTTCATATACCTTCTTGGTTCCATCATCAATCCAAATATTTATTATTTAAAAGATTTTACCCCACCTTTATCCTTAAAAGAATCTAAGGTGGCTTACATCATTACAAGAAAATATTAAAGCTAACAACAACATTGAATATACAAATACTAAAAAGGATTGAACAACTATTATACAAACAATGTATGCAATGCCGAAAAACATTCAAAGCAGTAAGGTACAATAAGCCATTTAAAAATACCCACTCAGGCAACCAGTCACTCAGGGAAAGCTTGCCTGAACAGAAAGAACAGCAGCAAAGGATACCAATTTGGCCTCCTGTGGGAGGGAGTTCCAAAGTCTGAGAGCAGCAACAGAGAAGGCCCTCTCCTATGTCCCCATCAAACGCACGTGTGAAGGTGGTGGACCTCTTCTGATGATCTTAACACTTCAGCAGACTCATAAAGGGAGATGCAGTCTTTAAAATAGCTTGGGCCTAAGTCATTTGGGGCTTTATAGGTCAGAAAAAACTATCAAGAAGGTACAAGTACTGGGGAAGGCCATGTTATAAACCAGAGATTGGAAAAGTTAAATTTTGTCTTAAATCTGGAGACTGGCGCATGGGTAGTATTATTGAGGACTGGACCTCCGCGTAGTTCAAGCTCCACCTTTCCCAATTTGGCATCGTCCCAATATATTGGCTTGCAACTTCTTTCATTCTCAGTCATCACAATCACCACTGTAAGAATAGGAGTTGCAGTCCAACGTTTTCTGAAAAGCACCAGGTTGAGAAAGGCTGCAAAATGCAACCAAACACCCTTGTATTACCTGCAATGTTATTATTTTACAGTGGACCCTCAACTTACAGACGGCTCGACTTACAGACTTTTCGAGGTACAGACTTCTCTGGCCACAAAATTTAGATTCGACTTGCAGCCAGAGAATTTACCTACAGACCAGAAAAAAAACAAAATGGAACAAAAATAGAACAAAAACAGCCGGTTATGGGATTAATCAGTTTTCAATGCATTGTAGGTCAATGGAGACTCAACCTATAGACTTTTCGACCTGCAGCCACCATTCCAATACGGATTAATTCCGTAAGTAGAGGGTCCACTGTACAGTGATGCCTCGACTTACGAACGTCCTGACATGCAACCAGCTCCAGCCACAAAATTTTGCTTCGACTTGTGGCCGGAGTTTCCAGTTACGACCAGGAAAAGGCAGGGGAAAAAGGCGGGGAAATCAAATTGCTAATGGTTGGTATCGAAGAGGCTGTTTCTTTGTAGCACTTTCACCCCAGCAGTTAGAGAGTGTGCGATCGGAGGAGGCTTCGGACTGCCTGGTAAGTTAAGGCGCTTTCTACTTTTTAAAAACTGTTCTGGGTGGGTTTTGCAGCCTGGTTTTGGGCTGGGTGATGGGTTTATGTTTCTATGCTGTGATGGGTCTTGCAGGGTTTGTTTGATTTTTGCATTTTTCCCCCATTTCCAATGGGTTTTGTGGTGTTTGTTTGCTTCTTGAGTCCCCCCCCCATTTCCGAAGGGTCTTGCATGGTTTTTTTGCTTTCTGCATTACTTTTTTGCATTTCCAAAGGGTCTTGCACGGTTTGTTTGCTTTTCTTCCCCCCTCTCCTTCGGCCGGAATGAATTAATGCGTTTCTGATGGATCTTGCAGGGTTTTTTTTTGTTTGTTTTGCTGTTGTTGTTGTTTTTGGTGATTTTTTTTCCTTTGGCCACAACAGATTAATTGCATTTCAATGCATTCCTATGGGAAATGGCGCTTCGACTTACTACCATTTTGAGTTACAACCGGAGTTCCAGAACCAATTAAGTTCGTAACTCAAGGCACCACTGTACTCCTTCATTTTGAGAGCAGTCTTGGGAAAGATTTTCAACGATGGACATAAAAAGCCTTAAGAGTACTTAAAAAACCTGCAGCTTGATTGAACTGAGAGACCAACGAATTATACCCATCCTGTCAAATACTCCATGAACACCCTCCACACACATACACACTCATGCTCGATTCTTCTGCACTGAAAAGAATCTCAGCAAAATTTATGGAAGCAAAAATCCTGAAATTGAATACTGTACTGTTCATTCCAATTATGTCTTTTATTTTCTGCTACATTTTGCCCTTTAAAAAAATAGTGTTTTAAAACTTGCTCTGAAATGTGTGTGTGTGTGTCAAACATGAAGCCCACGGGGGGGGGGGGG